CTTGCAGGCACACAACACCTGTGGGAAAGGAAAAGCTACAAGCCCAAAGTGATTGTTTGTAGGTACGATTTTTCTTCTAAAGCCCGAATTTTGCAGCAGAACCACCCGTGTTTCTGCTGTGCCAGAAAAAGACATTTGAATGAACTGGCAGATTCTAAAGCCCTCCAGAAAGGGAAGCTCACTTCTGCTTTCCCAGTTGCCTAGGTGATTAACATGAGACAAACACAGTTCTTCCTATGGTTAGTCCTAAATCCATGAGACAAAGAGCTTTTTGGCTTGGTGTTGCAAGATGTGAAGGTGTTCCAACGGCAGGGTTTCGCAAGAGCTGTGCCCTCCTCCTGTCCCTTTGCTTGCATGGCATTTCTGCTGTGAAGGTGACCTTCCAGCCACCATCTGAGCACCCTCCAAGCTGCCCTGGGGCCAGGAGGGGACACTGTCCCCAAGTTCAGGGGTATGTAAAGCTCCTGGCAGTTAAAAATACCGAGCCACCCGCAATTCTCTTTGGTGCCATTGGAGCCCTGGCCACGGCTGCTGGCCGTGAGCAAGAGCAGATTGCTGGGCTGGAAATCAGAACCCCAGGCTTCTGTCTCTCTGGGCTCTGATTTCAGCTGATTTCTAATCCTCCTGCTGCTATTCTTCCCCTGCTGTGCTGTTTGGAGTGCAGGTCCTTTGTGGCAGGGGTGGCTCTCCCTGGGTGTTTGCTCAGTGTTTGCACAATCCCTGCTGCCCATGGATGGCTCCCAAGCACAGAGCCTCTGGAGCAGGCTGCTGGGGCACAAATCATCCTGAAAAGCCACTTCACAAAATGTGTGATGGTTCAGAAAAACTGCGGGTTTCCTTCTCCTTTCCAAGGATTTCAGGCTGCTCCTAAAGCAGCATCACCAGGAGACATGGAAATGCTGCTGCCCTTCTGTGACAGATCAGGAGAGAGAACCCCAAAAATGTGGAATGAGCTTGTCTGCCTCGTTTAGCAAAGAGACTTTTTCGGCCCCTTTCTCCTCCCCCAGTTCAGCATCACAAAGAGACAAAACCTTTTTCAAGACAAAAAATTCTCTGCATGTCTTCAAGATTTTGCCTTCTGCTTCCTCTCCCTCCTCCTGGGCTAGCAGAAGCTGCCACATCTGCAGATCTGAGCTTCCTTTAACATCTTCACTTTCTTCCATGATTGTCTGCTGACCTCTGGGAACTCTCTAAGGATTACTGGAGCAAATTTTAGCAGGGGAAAAATGGTCTCTTCTTTGCAGAGACAGCCACTGCACATGTGTGTTATGCCTAATCCATGATGAGGTTATAAACACCTGCATCCACCTAACCCTATTTACCCATAAATTAGAAATTTTTTTCGTTAGACTTGAACATCCACACATTGATTATTGTTTTAAATATTGATTTTTTTTTTTTTTAAATTGGGAAGCAAAAGAACATTCATTTAACCTCTCAGCTCCGTGGTGGAAGAGACAAAATGGCACAGGATCTATTCTGAAGATGGGCAAATAGAGGTGAGGGATTACAGTACAACTTGTCTGGCTCCTGGAGAAGTCACAGATGAGGCTTGAGGGATCAAGCTGGTGATGCTTGGGCTAAAGTAGCCCATCACCTGCTCGCTAGCCAGGAGGGAAACCATTCTCCTTCAGGCCAAAAACTTTCTATTACACTGCAGAGCAAAATGGAGAGCTGCCTTTTCCATCCTGTGCGTTGTGCACGAGTTTGAAGCTGCTTCAAAAAAGGAGAGTTAAAAAAAAAAAAAAAAAAAGAGAAAGAAAGAAAGAAAGAAGAAAGGAGAAGAAGTTATTTCAGACATGTTTCCTGGGTTGTTGTCTGTGTTTGATGCTTTCAGCTGACGCCAAGTGGAACGGAGCAAACACAGCCCTGGCTGCGGCGCTCTGTTTCCCTGGCTGGCAGGGACACCTAGTGGGTAGGACAACGTGTGCTGCTGAAGGCCGGGGAAAACACGCCGTCTTGACTTCCCACCAAGGGCACTATTTCATTTTCTGAGTCATGGCAGGGCCTAATTGATGCTAGTGTTACCCTTTGGAATTAGCGTGGAGTCGGGAGGAGTTTACAGCCAAACCTCCTTCAAGGAACAGAGTGTAACGTGAGAAGGTGATGTGAGCAGTGTTACCCAAACTGCTGCTAACAGGAGCCACTGCCAGCCTGGAATTTGTGCAATTGCCTCCTTTGAAGGCTGCCACAGCCACAATAAGACCTACACGGGCTCTGGGTGGGAGCAGACTCGGGGCTGGCGTGATTCATCCCTGTCTGCACTCACGCCTTCCATGGGCTGCTGCATTGGGGCCACTTTTATTCTCTTGCAGACACCTACAAAATGACATTTACTGCTGCTCTCAGTGGGACAGCTCCAGCAGGGAAAGCCAGCAAGAAGCTTAAAAAGAGGAGGAAGGCAGTGTGACCATCTGCCTCCCCCAAAGCAGCAGGGCTGCTCGCAGGCAGCGCCCAAATCCCTCCTGCCTCCTGCAGCACAGGTCAGGCTTTGCTGGCCCTGTCCCTCAAGCTGTTTACCAGATTGGATCCTTGGTTGCCTTCCCTTAACACGTGTTTTTTGTGGGAAGAGGTTGGTGAGTGATTCCTTTGTTTCCATTGTGGGGCTGTTTTTCCTGGCATCTTCCCAAGCACCTGTCTGAGAGGGGCTGGCATGCGGATGCTACGTTCCAGATCAGTGGCATCCCTAAAATCCTCCAGCCTGTGCCAGGAACAGAGACATTACATGGGAGAGATTTCCTGCAGGGAAAAATCCAAACCCCTTTATAAACCTTTATAAACACAGTAATTTTTTTTGTTTGTTTGTTTATTTGGTTTAGATACTTTTCCTCTGCAGAGGCTGGGAAGAAGCAGCCTTCTGCCATGCCACCACTCTGGAGACATAGGCCCCAAAAAGATTCTTACATTTAAAAATATAAGATGAACTGCAGCTTTTTATTCAGAAACAGATCATCTAAATAGCAAGAAGCAGTTATGCTCTGGACATTTTGAAATCATCTCCTTCTAATCTAATTATGTGCTAGCAGTAAAACTGACACAGTTATGGTTATTAAGCACTTTTCCTTTTTTCCTCCTTTTACCAGGAATCCTATCTTAGGATTAATAGGCACTTGCATCATTTCAGTCCTGTTTGCTGTATTAAGTAGCACCTACATCACCAGCAAATATTTTTATTGTGCTGACACTGCACACAAAGTGAAATGTGAAGGTACAGAACCTTGTTATTTTTTTTTCCTCTGGACTCTCAACATAATTTGAATAGCTTATGCCTCATAAGTTCCTTCATTAAAGAGGGAAACTTAATTCTCATTTAATGAAATTAATAACTTTGAAGGAAGGGAATTAAAAATTACTTCTGTCCAACATAGCTGCACAATTTTGTAGCAGGGCCTGAATATTTGTATTCTAAGTATTGATGATGGGGAGAAACAGTAAGCAATATATTTAATAACATTTTTGGCACTAATAACCTGAATTCATACATATAAGCAAGCAAGATGGAGTTTATATGAAATCATGATTATCAGTGTGTATACAAATAGATGAAAAAACTCTCAAAGCATTATTGCCAATGACTCAATGTCAAACTGGAAGGAAATTTCAAGAGAGCGTTCCAAGCAGATGTGCAGAGATCTTCAGAACTGATTTCAGTCAATATTTTTATTAGTGATTTGCAGGATAAATATAGAGTACACTTGTAAAATTTGCTCAGTCTGGCAGGCAGGATCAGAATGCCAAATGCTAAATTGAAGAGATGGTCTCAGATCAACAAGATGAAGTTCACTAATGACAAGTATGAAGTGCTACACTGCAGAGGGAGATATCAAATGCATAAATATGAATTGGGAAATAATCAGCTCAGCGTCAATATGAGAAAATTATACTCTGTGTATAGTGGTTCATAAATTAAATATGACTCAACAATGTGATTGTGCTGCAGAAATTGCTAATACCACCTGGAGTTCTGTTAATGGAAGTGTTGTATGTGGAAGAGGAGAGATTGTGTAGGCATCCTGCAGCTCCTTAATGACAATCTGGTCACTCACGTCACCCATGCTCCCCATCACCTCCCAGGCCTTCCCTGTGCTCCCTCTCCAGGCCCTGTGCTCAGCCCCAGCCATTCTCTGCTGCCTTCCTCTGTGAAGGATCCTTGACCACCTCTTCTCTTTGGAAACCTGCCCATGCTCCTGCTGCCTCACAGTGCTTCTCCTTATGAAAATAAGTTACAGGTGATGCCAGTGGTCGTCTCCATATAAATCCTGTGAGCACATCCTACATGGATCCCAGATGGGGAATGTGTGCTGCTCAGAGGGAGCTTGCAGGGACTCTGGCAAGGAGGGCATGTGCTGTGCCTGCAGAGGGGCTTGTGAAAAATATGTATTTTATGATTGGCTTTGCCCAAATATTAAAATGAATATTATATGTGTTGTGTTAGAAAGTAATGCTGTATTAATTCTCTTAAGTAGTGTGGTAAATAGAGTTTTAGGCTATGACAAAATGTTAAAATAGAAACTATGCTATGTAGGATACTTTTTTTAAAGAAAGGACTTGCAGCGAGATAGCAGCCACAAGACACCTAAATCTTTCAGAGAAAGAGAATTTATTGTCCCATTATCAGAAGAAATTAAATTCTTCCTGCCTCACTCAGGTTTGAAGGCACCGTCAGGATTCAGAGGAAGAAGCTGACATTGACTGGACAGAATCCTGTGTTTGAATGGAATTTATGCATCATGTATGAGGTGTATGAATATGCAACAGGCTGTTGCTTTTAAGGGTTAATCCTTTGTTAACGGGTGTCCTTTTCGGGCTTATTTTGCCCAGAAAGAGGTACCCGGACGTCCCTAACTCTTTATTTCTATTGTCTCATATTGTCCTAATCCACATTGTCCAAATTATAATTACTCTAATTATATTGCTATTTTTATAACCATTTTATTACTATTAAACTTTAAAATTTTAAAACCAACTGACTGGCTTTTTTCACAGGCTGGCTCCTGGCAGCTCTGCGCTGGCACAGGGGAGCATCTCCCGGAGCAGCGGGCGGCTCCTCCAGCGGGAAACAAAACACTTGAAGGCAACAAAGGAGACTGTCCCCTGGGAGTCACCCCGGTCCGAGGCACAGCAGGAACATGGAGGGAACTGACGGCATTTCATCGCATCGGTTTTTCATCCCAGCGAAATTTTTTGGAGGTGTTTGGCTGTGGGAGATTTTTAAACTCCCCAGGATTTAATGCTGCCCGGAGCCATCGCCATGCACCGCGGGGCAGTGACAGTGCCACAGCCAGCAGCGACAGCTCTCCGAGCTCCTTCCATCACTTCTGCGGGCGCATCGGGATGGTGGCAGGCTCCAGAAATCCTGGCTGGGTCAGAAACCAAAAACTGATCGCCCAAAAACCTGCTCGCTGCTCCCAGGAGCCCGAGGCTGCCGCTAGATGGCAAACGCTAATTTCCAATTCCTGGAGATGCCGGGATCCTGCCTGGGGCACTGTGCGGCCAGGGATGGGGATGGGGATTAGATGGGGATGGGATGGGGATGGGATGGGATGGGGATTAGATGGGGATGGGGATGGGATGGGGACAGGGACTGGGGATTGGATGGGGATTGGGGATGGGATGGAATGGAATGGGGATGGGGACGGGGATGGGGACAGGGATGTGGATGGGGATGGAATGGGACGGGGATGGGAATGGAGATGGGGATAGGATGGGATGGGATGGAATGGAATGGGGATGGGTACAGGGACGAGGAGGGGGATAAGATGGGGATGGGATGGGATGGGATGGGGAGGGGTGGAGATAGGTATAGGATGGGGACAAGGATCAGGTTGAAATGGGATGAGATGGAGACATGGATGGGATTGAATAGAGATGGGATGGAGAAGGATAAAAGGATGGGGTTGGGGACAGGAATGAGATAGAAAAGGGATGGGAATGGAGACAGGAACTGGGACAGGGGGGATGATGGGGATGGGATGAGGATGGGAATGGAGGTGGGGACAGGGATGCTGTGAGTGCTGGAGCCAGCGCCCCACCGTGCCCTCCCTCCCTGGCAGAGATCCAGGACCTGTCCCTGAGGGGCCAATGCATCCGGGACCTGGTGCTGTCCCTGCCACCCGCCCACCATGACACCATGAAGGTCCTTTTCCGCCACCTCTGCAGGTGACACCCCCTTGTTCCCCCAAACCCAACCCAGTGCAGGAAGGCAGAACATGACTCTGGGGACAGCCCCAGGGTCAGGGCCATGCTGGTGACACGTCCCCTGTCCCACAGGGTGGTGGAGCACAAGGAGGAGAACCGCATGTCGGTGCAGAGCGTCGCCATCGTCTTCGGCCCCACGCTGCTGCGGCCGGCCAGCGAGGAGAGCAACATGGCCATGCACATGGTCTTCCAGAACCAGGTGGTGGAGCACATCCTCAACCACTATGGATACATCTTCCCTGATGGATAAACCCTGGGGACACGTGCTGGCACGAGCCTGGCAGTGGGGACTTGATGGAGCAGTGTCTCCAGGAAGGACTTGGCCATGTGTCACCTCGCTGGTGGCTCCATGGAGGGCAGCGTGGTGACCCGGCTCAAGGGAGGGGCTCCTGGGGGATCCTCCTTGGCCACCCCATCCCACCGGGGCTGGATGTGAGGGGGGCTCTGGGGGTCCCCATGGTCAGTGGAGCCCTGCAGTGCCCCCCTGGAGCTGGGCGGAGCAGGGAGGGTCCGGCGGGCAGGGCCTGCTGGGCACTGGTGGCGTCGGTGGGTGGGCAGGGAGGGGCCGGGCAGGGCCGTGGCTGCAGCCCCTGCGCCATCCCAAATAAAGAGCCCATGCAGACACAGGGGTCAGGTGTTGCTGGCAGGACAAGGGGACATCCCAGGAACGTGGGTGGCACAAGGGCTTGGTGCTCCTTGGTTGCTGGTGACCCTCAGCAACACCACATGGCCTTCGTATCCCATGAGGATGAGGGGACCTGGGACAACATTCCTGGCTGGTGTCACCAAGCACTGTGTCACCACCAGTGTCACCACAGACAGCGAGACATGATGAGAGCCACGCAGTCATGGGACATGAGTTCCCATCATCCAGAGCCACCTCCTGGGGTGGGGGCACTTTGGGTCCTGATGGTGACAAGCTGGGACACAAGCAGGACAGGATGGGACACAACAAGGATGGCAAGGGACATGACTGAAAGTGCTATGGGACATTGTGGGGACAATAAAGGACATGGCAGGGACATGACTGAAAGTGCTATGGGACATCGTGGGGGCAATAAAGGGCATGGCAGGGACACAAGGAGGAGGAGTGGGGACATGGGACACATGTCTGTGCTTTGACACACAGCAAGGACAGTACATGGCAGCAGTTGGGGACACAGGGATGGCTGGGGTACAGAGGGGACACCTGGGGACACAAGGCACTTTGGGGGTGTGATGGGGATGTAATGGGGCCAAGCTGGATGGCAGTGGGGACACTTTGGGACAAGACAGAGACACTTTGGGGTGCAGTGGGGTCATTTTGGGGCACAAGGATTTTCAGGACACAAAGGAAAACTTGCTCAGGAGTGCCGGGACAGTGGTTTGGGACACAATAGGGACAATTTGGGATGCAACTGGGACACAAGGGGACACAACTGGGGACAGGGAAGGGACTGTGTGTAATGCAGGGGGGGAATTTGGGGGCGCAAGGGGGACAAGACAATGCTTCGAGGGTGCAGCAGGAGCACTTTGGGAGAGAACGAGCCACTTTGGGACGCACCGGAGCCACCTTGGAGCACAAGGAAGTACTTTGTGACAAGAGGGGATTCTTCAGGAGCGCAGTGG